TTCAAGAGAGAAGAAAAATATTAATGGGGGAAAGAGAATGAGCCAGAAACCATTTATTAAAATGAAGGAAATGTGGAAGTAATAGCCAAACACATAGGATAGCACAATGGTGAAGATTCAGCCTCATTATGCACGAAGTCTATTTCAAGTTCTCTCCTTGCCCAACAATGGTGGTTTGGGTGATTGCAGGTACTTGGATTTTATACTGTCAAGTACAACCAGGAATGTTATCACACTAGTATCCGCCTTATGATTTGATTAGCTTTGCTAATGCTGTGTTTGGATCATAGATTTGAAAAAGGAAAGGGAAAGGGAAAGGTGAGGGAAATGGAGAATAAGTTTGACTTACATTGCATTCTCATTTCTATATGGGGAAAATTTCTTCGAAGTTATTACTCTATTGTTTAGTGCCTTGGATGAATTCAGAGTATATGGAAAAGAACCAGCAAATGTGGCTCTGTATGAATGAAAAAGAACCAACCTCTTTGAAAGCTATTATTGAATTTGTGGAAAACCAAGTTGCCAGTTGATATTAATTGCATATAAAAACCATGAAGCTATTACTTCTCTCCCTGGAAGTGTGAATGACTTGAAATTTGCAGTGAATAGAGTTGAAAAAGATTTATATGTATGTGTCTTTTGACCTCCTTGCAGACGATTTCGTTTCAACATTATCATCGGAGCAATCATCAGGATCCAATTTAAATATATAACCAACTTTTTGCCACCCCACCTCCCTCCGTTGTCCTGCTTTCCTCGTTTTCTTTAGCTCCGCCATCCTCTCCCTTCCCTCATTTCCCTTAGCCTCACCATGAACCTCTTCGTCACCTCCCACCTTTTGAAATTCTAGATACGTCACCCTTTCCTTGCCAACCTCGTCACCTTTCTCTCCTTTGTGTGTGGTGGTGGTGGTGGAAGAGAGAGAGAGAGGAACTATGAGGGAGTGTGTAGAAGAAACAAGATGGAAGGTTAGGAGTGGTATTGTAGGGAACAATCGCACCGAGGCAATAAGGTTTCCTATAACCTAAGCGCGAGGTGCAAGGCGAGGCGCAAGTAGTAGAAGAAAAGCAAAATTATAAAATAGGCAAACATTTCAACATAACAAATATATATATAGAATTCTAAAAAGCATAAAGCAAGCTTCATAAGCATAACAGAGAAGAAAAAATAAACAGATAACCCATGGAAGAAGTAGGACAAGAAAAGAAGAAGAGAAGAATAAAATAAGAAAAGAAGAGAAGAACAAAAATAAGAAAAGAAAAGACAGAGGCAGACCCATGAAGAGAACCCCATCGAAGAAGAGAAGAAGAAAATAAGGAAAGAAGAGAAGAAAAATAAATAAACAAAAAACAGAGGCTGAGAGATAACTCAACCAAAAGAACTCATCGAAGAATAGAGGAAGAGAAAGAGAACTAGCGAAGAAGACGAGAAGAAGCTGAAGTCGTGTCATCGTCTCACTTTCTGATTGCTTTTTTTAATCTTCTTCACCTAGAATTTTTTTTTAATCACTTTCTGCTCTCTTTTGATCACATTTGGCCATTTTATATTGAAGAATTTTTATTCCTTGTGGGTATGCCCACAAAAAAAGTACTTAATCAACGGTTGGAGTAGAAAAAAAGGTAAAGCCCATGAAGCTCGCGGCTCGCGCCTCAAAGAAAAGCCCTCGCCTCAACCCCTAAGTTGCGCCTTGCGTATTGCGCCTCGCGTCGACCTATTTGAAGTGCAAGGTTACGCCTCATTGCACCTCATGCTTAGGTGCGTGCGTCTAAGCGCGCCTTTTAAAACACTAATAGGGAATATTATGGGGGTGTATAAAGAAAAATACAAAATTTAATTTCTTTCAAGTAGATGTAAAAACACCACAATGGAGTTTAGGAACAGGATAATGTGGTGGAGTTTTTAACTAAATCATATATATATATATATATTAAAAGTATTTTTTTAAAGTTTAGTATTTTTTGAATTTATATTTTAAATTTCTATTGTTTTGTGAAATCGGGTTTTCAAAATGAGTGCTGATAGCTAGAGGTAGGTATTGTCTCGTTGGTCCACCCAATCCTATTTTTTTGGAGGGCTTGGGAATGCTATTCTAGCCAGGAGGGCCAGGCTAAGTTATAACCAAGCCACAAACATTTGTAACATGAATCACAAAATTTTGGATATTTTGTTACGTTAATTTTTGAAGAGATTATGTATTTTGTGGTTAATGGTACAAAATTTTATCGTAAAGTTACGTCAATTTGTGATAGGGTGCACACCATAGGCATTTCTTACTGAAAAATATATAAACACCCCTTGTATGCTCCAATATTATGCAACTAAACTGTTTATTTATTTCTTTTAATCAACTACAGCTCAACCACTGTAACTCTGCCTTTTCCATTCCCCTTTATTTGATCTCAGCTTCTCTCTTGCTGTAGACTGTAGCCCCGTCATTTCCGTTACTAATTATTCTTTTGTCTTTTTTAATTTATATTATTTGCTTCATCATATCAATCATTATTATTGACTATTTGTTAAACTCTGTTAGTGAGTAGAGACTTTGTTTAACTTAACATGACTGTTTAATTGTTTCTTTGTTAATAATCGTTGTTGTATATTGGAATGTTAGATTGAATGGTTTTAATGCATTTTTTTTTTTTTATAGAAACAAGTTTTATTGGATTTCGTTTTTTAAAAATTAGTCTATATATATAAGTGGTTGAATTTGGGAATTATATTTCCTTTGGGGTTAGGCTTGAGATGACTATATTAGCTTGATGTTCAGGTTGGACTTGGTATGGACAGATACAAAATTTCTTATCAGGTGGTGCAAGCTTTTGCCCAAACCCAACTTGGCTCGACTGGTGGCCACCCTACTAATAGCACCACACTTCTTTCTTTGGAATCCCTTCATATTTTTTAATTTCAATTTTATCCCATCATAAAATACATTAATGTATATTAATTGGGTGTGTTTCTTTTTAAATAAAATTCCAATTTTATCCCACCCTTGACCTTACAAACCCCTAAAAACCTAACCCTATCTCCCCCCTAACGGCCACCCACCAGCAACAACTTTGACCACCCTCCCCCGCCTATCCCTAACTCTGGCCACCCTCATTTGCCACTTCCAAGCCTCTACTCACCTTTGGTAGCCCATTCCTCACCTCCTCGCCATTTCTCAACTCCTCACTAATTTACACCACCTTCCACCCTATCCCCATCTCCACCGCTAACCCATTTCCACCTACATATCGCCACCCATCCTTATCTCCTTTCTTGATGGACCCTACCTTATTTCCTCTCCATTCTGCCACCCTCGTCTAGCAACTGCAACCCTCTCCTCGATATTGCCGCTTTAGCCCCTCCAACCCTTTTGGCAGAGAGAGGTCAAGAAGAGAGTCATGATGGTGCATATGGGAAGGTTGCGGAGGTGTGCAAGAGAGGTGGAAGGTTGGGGAGGAACACGATGGGGGTGGCACTAGGGTTGAGAGGAAAATTTATTTCATGGTCCAGGAACATTATGTGGCCATGTCCTTGACCAATTACAAACTGACATACTCTTCTGTTTTTCAACCACCCAACACGAAATCATGAGTCTCACTCTCTCCACCATTCACAACACACTTAAGGGTATCATGTGGTTGTGTCGCATGACTACCAAATAATTTCTCGCTGGGAGTGGGTTTTAGATGTGGTTGTTTCAATTGCTACAGTGGAAGTCGAGGTGGAGACTAAAGTTAGGTTTCAAAAGTTAGGAATGAAAGTAGAATTGTGAATTTATAGCCTTGTTTGAGAACATGTTTTTTTAGTAATTTTTTTACTTTTTGGCTAAAATATGGTGTAAAAAAATTAGTATGTTTGGGGTGATTTTTTGATTTTTTATGAAAATATGTGGAAAAAGTAGAGAGAAAAGAGAATCTTTGACTCTTTGCTATAAGTTGTTAGCTTTTAAATTTTTTTAGTGACTTTAGTTTTTTAACTAAAATCATCACTTGCCAAACGAGGATAAGGGTCTAAAAAAAGAGTTAAAAAATTTAATAATTTGGTAATGTTACAAATTTAGACTTAACTATTCAGAATTATTTTGTGATTCAGATTTATTCTAGACATAAATTCCACATTACACAAATTCAATCACAATCACATATCATCATTTGGGATAGATAAGGGTGAGTTCATAAACTTATTCTTAATAATTTAAAAAAAATAAATTAAAAAAAATAGATTTGAAATGGTGTTCGGAATAGTGTTCCAGAGAAGTTTGGTGGGTGCTGTTAATAGCACTATTTCAAAACATGACTTCAAGAATCGTGTTGTAAAAACATAAGTTTAATCACTTTTACAATAAATTAATTAAAATGTTTTATTTGAAACTGGATTGTAGTGTTGAAGTGGTCTGCCTTAAAAATAATGTTTAAAAAAGTCTTGAGAAATGAATTATCAAAGAACGTGCCCTTTAGTTAGAAACATTCTCGTAACACGTACAGAACAAGCTTTGAATACAGAAAGAGGAAAGACTTTTAAAAAAAAAAAAAAAAAAAAAACTGAAGGAGAGAAGACCATATTTATACATCACACACAATTCAGATTTGATACCATCACTACGATACAATGCTATCCATCAAAAGAAGCCGCCTAGCCTCTGTCTCCGAGGCCTCCCACCACCACCACTACCACCTTGCATTGTCTGCCGATACTATCGCCTCCAATGCCGACCTCTTGACAAAAACCTTACTGCATCTACCCATAAGATTGCTCTTCCGGTTCAAATCGGTTTCCAAACATTGGCTCTCTCTCATCACTCACACCTACTTCTCTCACTGCCACCAAATCCTCAACCGGCATCGCTTCTGGCCTATTCCTACAGTTGCACTGCTGGTCCCACCGCTGGTCCCGACTCAACAACCCAGAATATGAATTCATCTCTTTCAATGACCCACTCACCTTCACTCCCCCTTTCAGAACTCTCACTTTCATTCCCGATCCATCTGGTTTAAAAATTCTACAATCTTGGAATGGATTGTTGTTCTGTTGCAGCTCTCAAACTCGCAACCTTAAACGCAAATAGTATGTATACAAATCACACCACCAAACAATTCACTACGCTTCCTACCCTGGGTTTTGGTTCTCCAAGACCCGTTGTTCACGGTGTGAATTTCACTTTCAATCCTACAAAATCGCCTCACTACAAAGTCATGTGTGTTCAGAGCTCAGACTTCAGTTCTGAGCATTACCAGATCAAGATCTACTCCTCCAATACTGGTCCTTGGAGGGTTTCTGGTCAACCTTTCACTGCTCATGTTAACATTCAATTCAATGGCGGGGTTTATTGGAACGACGCAATTCATTGGCTCAGCATCCGGGGAGATCCGTTGTGTTTTGATGTTGATAAAAAATGTCTTCAAATAATGCCGATGCCTCCACTTCCATCAGGCTACGATCGGAGGTGGTTTAACTATTTTGGGGAGTCGGGTGACCATTTGCATCTGATCGAGAGGTAACGTCCTCCAAGCATGCAGTTCAACATCTATGAATTAGAGGGAGCGTTTCAGAGTGGTTTGTGAAGTATCGAATCGACCTTGGTTCAGTTGCTGCTGAATTTCCAGAGATGATTCCAACCAGAACAATTGCAGAGCACTTGAATTTCTACAACTTTGTTATACTTTCGGTTGTCGGAGAGAAACAACAGATGGGGGGGAGTCGTCGTTCATGGTGTTGCACATAAATGGTAAGGTGATGCGGTACAGTTTTGAGGATAAGAGTTTGAAGAAGCTCTGTGATTTTGCTGCTTCAGCTCCAGGTCGACCTGTGAGTTTCGGTGGAAGGCGCCTTTGTTTTCCATTTATTGAGTCTCTTTCTTGCGTTTGATATTGTTGAGACCAAAGGATGGATTGTAAATTACAATTTTTATTTGTTCAAATAATAATAATACTGTAATGATAAATTACAGTTTGTAATTAAATAAATTTTAATTATTTCTATTGGGGGTATTCAAATAGACCATGTGACATAGCTTGATATTTTTACCACTCTATATTAATGGTTAGTCTATAGAATTATAATCTTTGCTCTTTCGATATGGACATATATATCATATATTGGTGAGATTAAAAATTATTTGTATAGACCAATTCTTGACATGTATCGGTTCATATTCAATTATTCTCCATGGATACAATTAGTTCACAATCGATAGGATTCGTTTAATTGAAATTATACTCTTTTTTTTTTTTTTGGTTTACTAATTTAAAAATCGAGATTATTTCATTTTTACACTTATACTTTGTCACGATTTTCAATGACCCCCCATACTACTATTTTCATGCGCACCCTCATACTATGTGAATTCTTTTTAATTTTATCTCTGTCGTTTATTTCTGTCAAGAAAGTGGACGGAATGGGTGATGTGGCCTCCTATACTTTCACATGGAGGGAAAATTAAGGCTTTCCCCCCAAAACCTGACATTCCCTTGTATTCCCTTTAACCTATAAAAATAGAGACCATTGCAAAAATAAATAAATAAATAAATAAATAAATTAAAAAAAAAAGCATCAATGAAATTAGTGGGAGAGAAGAAATGAGGAACAATCGAAGCTCAAGAAATCAAGGGAGATGAAACGTAAGTGGTGTAGACGAGATGTTTTGCAATTTTTGTGGAAGAAGAAGGCTGATACACACAGCATGGACCGACACAAATCCTGGGAAGAGATTTCTTAGTTGCCCTAACAATGGTTTCAATCACTTTACCAGGGTAGACCAACCCATATGCGATCGGGCAGTGCAGATCATTCTTGGGCTATTAAAGAAGTTGAATGAGATGGAAGCACAATTGAAGAGAAGGACTGGAAGAGAGGAAACTATGGATTTGCTTGGTTTTGTCATGGTTGGTTGTAGGAATATGGTTTGTAATATAAAGTTTGAAGTTGTATGGTAGTGTAAGAATGAATGGAGTCTGTATCCTGTTTATGAATCATATGCAATGGGTGAACTGTTGTTAATGGAAAATATGTTTTTGAGATGAAAATTGTATGCTTGGTGACTTATTAATATTGTCTCTATTATTTTGTGTTTGGTGACTTTGACATAGACAAAGGAAACACACAGAAGTTGGGACACAATCTGTGACCATAATTGTCACTCCAAATTCAATGAACAATGAACATCACCAATGAACATCAAGACTTGGAAATAGCAGCAGAAATACAATAATTTGACATTCAAACTTTGATCAGTTGACACATTTGTCGTTTATGCTGTTCAAAACATATACTAAGAAAGGGACAGTCAATACAAAAACCAGGCTTCAAATGTACAAAAATCCCCTGCCACTATGAAGGTTATGGAATATGAACAAAAGTAGCAAAAACATTCACATCCATTACATTGTATTCCATGAACAAAAGTAGCAAAAACCTTCTCGAACATTTAAAAAAAAAAAAAAACAATAGTGGTCCTTCACATCTATTACTTTGTGTCAGTTGCATTCTTGGTTTGACCCACAAGAGATTTGACAGCGCTAGTATTGTACACCACTCTTCCTCTACATCTCATTTGACCTTGCAGAGAAATGTTAGTATTGGAAGTTACTGTAGACCCCTACACATCGTGACTTGCATGTAGTGGAGTTGTGTCACTTGTTCTCATAACCTTTCTCATTTTTGCATGTAATAGCCATCACCATTGTTAGGACATATGCAAGGAAGATATTATTTAAAGTAACAAATAGGGCCTTTGTAAAACTTACAGCCAGCTTCGTCTTCCTAACTTGAGTTGCTTCTGTAACCTGACTCCCAACCAGGCTTCTTTCTACTTGACTTTGAGTTTGGCTCCCATTAATCTGGGTTTGCCCTTGGCTTCCTTCATGTTGGGACTGCAAAAACTAAAAAACAAAAGTTAGCAATGTGTAAGTTAACAAAATGCATAAAAAAAATATGAATTACTTGAGTGGAACTCACAGAATCTTTCAGGAAGGTGAATTGGCCTTTGACTTTGTATGTCCTCTTGTTGTGTCCCAACTTGCCACAATTCTTGCATGTCATATGAATTCCACTCCTTTCCAGCTTACTTGATTCAGTTGCATCAATTGGGACATCTATGTCCTTCCTCTTATTCAGTCTTGGCCTCCCAGCTCTCTTCTGCACATCAGGTGGTAGCACTTTACCATATTGAGTTGTTGGCCACATTTGTCTACCATTGATTGGACTCAACATGTTCTCATAAATCCTCAAGTAGGTTTCCACTTTATAGTAATGATGCACATACTTTTCTGGTTCTTCACCCATATAGTTTGCAGCAGCCACAACATGGACACAAGGAAGGCTTAATAGATCCCATAATCCCATTTCCTACATCCACAAGTCCATTCTTTCAAGTCTACCTTATATTGCTCACCATATGGGCCAATAACTTCATATTAGGAAACCCCATTCTGTCTTGGAATCCATCTAGTGGCACTCACCTTTACCTGTTCCTAAATCTTCTGAATCTTAGGACATATATCACTTTTGTTGTACATTTTCATTGCTTCATTTCTTTTTTGAACTGTTTCCATCAACAAAACTCTTATCTTCTCTAACATGGACAACACAGGTTGATCCTTAGCCTGCAATATGCTTGAATTGAAACACTCACAAAGATTATTCAACAAAATGTCATACTTGGGGAAATTGTCGAAGTGACTCCTACTCCAATGGATTGGTGCTCTTTCAGCTAACAAATTGTATGCTTGTTCATCAACTCCTTTCATTTCTTTCATGACTTTGGTGAATAGACCAACAGTGCTTGCCCTGGCTGCCTTCTATAACAAATCCTTCAATACCCTACCCTTATATTGACCCTTGAAATTGTTGTACAAATGCCTTATACAGAACCTATGTAAGGCATTTGAAAACAACTTAGCCACTGCATCAAGTAGGCCCTTCTGTTTGTCACTCATGAAAGTGTAACAATGGGAATTCACAATATTCAAATCTTGCCGCAACAAATTCAGAAACCACAACCATGTTTTCTTCTTCTCCTTCTCAACAATGGCATATGCAAATGGGAATATATAATTATTTGCATCTATCCCCACTGCAGTCAACAACACTCCACCATGTGGCCCCTTCAAATGACAACCATCCACTCCAATGACTGGCCTACAAGCATTTTGGAAACTCTTCTTCAATGGACCCTAACACAAATACAATCTCTTAAACTTGGACATTTGCTCATCCTCTTCATGAACTTTTGGAAGTTCTTTCACCTTCATGCATATTGTTGTTCCTGGATTACTACTTCTAATCTCTTCTACATAACCCCCAAAGCCTTGTAAATTGTTCAATTGAAGTACCCTCAATCATTGTGACAGACTTATTTTTTGCCCATCTCACTTTCTGTATGTCAACTTTGACATTGTGCTCTGTTGTAATGGTGTATGCCGATGACTTAATTGGCCAGGTAGGGTTAACATAATCCTTTCCCAATACCTATTGACAATCCATCTACTATTCACATGTGGCACATCAAATGTTTTGTTGCATGTGTGTTCATCTACAAAAGTTTTGATTCTAATGTGATAACCCTATTCCGTATTATGCTAATTGATCTTAATTATGATTGTGATAATTACATGATTATATGTGTTTCTGTAATTCTATCTGTTCACCATAGAAAAATTTGTTTGATTTTCTGCTTTAGAATTTAAATTGAAGGCCTTATCGGCCACAGAAACTAAAATTGATTACGCCATAGGCATTAGCGTAATTTTTAGAATCTATGGTGAAATTTAATTGAAAATTGATTCGAATCAAAGTAATTAGATTCAGAACGATTAAATTAAGCTCCATTATTTGGCCTAATTAAACTTGATTAGGAAAACCTATATAAAAAGCCTTATTACACTCAATTCCTCCTCTTAATTCATTTTGGCTGAGATTACTCTAGAGAAAGCAGAGAGAGAGGGTCGGTTAGAGTGAGGGAGTGAAGGCAATTGGAGATTTGAGCAAGAAACTTGAAGAATTTGAAGATCAACTCAAGATTTAACTATAATTGTGAGGATTGAAGCTCCTAGGTGAGTAATTGAGCAAAGATTTATGAGTATAAGTTGTAATTTTGTGGATTCAAAGTAAGAGGGTGATCTAGAACATAAATTGAGTTGATCTTGATGAATTTGAAGTCAATGAATGCATGCATGTATGAAATTGCCATGAATTTGTATCTTTGAGCATGAAATACATGATCCATGTTGAATTTTGATTAAAGTTCATGCTTTTGAACATCTCTACATCATTTAAGTTGAGAATGAAAGTTATATCCCACATGCAAGTACAATTCATGGAGGTATGAGTTTTGAATGCATGAATTTGATGTGTTGGAGATAGATTTGGTATAATTTGAGTATGCATGTGATTGATTCATAGGATTTGAGCTTCATAATGTTGTAATTTCGCATTGGTATCATGTTAAAGGATGTGTATGTGAAGTATGAGTCATAATATGCAAGTTACATTAGTTTGCATGCAAGTTTGAGCTCAAACAGCTTGCTGGAAAATCCAGAATTCGGCATGTCTGTTCGAGTGGGGAAACGGCCGCCCGAGCGTGAAATGCTAGTTCCTAGAAGTTTTGCAGACATTGATGTCCGCTCGAGCGGGGAGATTCACGTTCGAGCGCCAAGCCACGTAGCTGACTTTCAGCTCAAGCATCCGAAGTCACGCTCGAGCGTAAAAATAAGGCAACCAGTACTTTTGCAGACCATAGGGGTCTGCTCGAGCGGCGAAAGCCACGCTCGAGCGGGAGCCCTATTTCAAAATTTTTGAAAAGTGGTTTTATGTTTCATTTTCCGTTCTCTTTCAATTCTAAGCACTCTTGGCATACATTGAGCATTGTGAATGGATTAAGAAGATAAGAAAGAGACCTAAGAGGAATGTATAAGTTAGGAATGGATTGAATTATTTGTGACCCGATATGTGTTATGTAATGTGTAGGGTCAAGCACGAGAGCAAACCCACCGGCAGATCACTGTGATTAATATCTTAGTAAAGATATCTTGAAGTATGTTATTTGTCCTATTGCTTATTCCTTTATAAGTCTTATAAGCTTGTTAATTTGAATTGTGGGCAAATATTTGTTTTACTATATGATTGGGCCAAAAACCGTTGGATACGAATGATTGGGCCAAAGGCCGTTGGACATGAATGATTGGGCCAAAGGCCGTTTGACATGAATGATTGGGCCAAAGGCCGTCGGACATGAATGATTGGGCCAAAGACCGTTTGACATGAATGATTGGGCCAAAGGCCGTCGAATATAAACGATTGGGCCAAAGGCCGTTGGACATGAATGAATGGGCCAAAGGCCGTCGGACATGAGTGAATTAGGCCCGAGGCCAATTGATACATCTAGAACTTTTGTCATTTGATACATTACATAGAAACATGAATTGGGCCCAAGGCCGTCTGATGCAACTATTTCAAAGTTCGTTCATGTATCTTCTCTACTTGATATTATTTACTGGGCTTTTGCTCACTCTCATTCATGTGTCTATAAGTGAGCCAAGAGATGTACAAACCCAGCCTCGGTGAAGTTATATGAGAAGAGTCAAGTTTTGTGGAGTCAGCCCAAACGTCTCATGTACGAGACTTGGTTTCGCCCCTTTTGTTCGTTGTTGTACTTTTGCTAATGTTGGCGAAAACTATGGATCACCTTTGCACATAAGCTTTTTGGTTTGGCTGATTATGACTTGAATGATCCTGTTGTGTAAAGTTCATATGTTAACTTTCCTTTTGGTGTGGGTTATTAATGAACACATATGTGAAATGTTATGATGTGCATGTAAGCACAGCTCTACGGATAAAGTTTTAAATTTGCTTCCATTTTGGCCCCTTAACTCCAATGATATACGTTTATTTGGTTTGAGGCCGTAGGTGATCTCGTGATTACTGGCGGGTTATGACTGTAATCTATAAGGGCGGGTTCGGGTCATGACACCTAAACACTCCTTCATCCTTCACAAAAGAAACATTGCAAACCCAAGGACAACTAGGTTTGTACTTTGCCCTATGTAGACACCCCATTTTTAACCGCCTGCAAGGCTCGAGCGCTTTGCCCGGTACACTCGATGATGAAAGTGGTGTTGTGCATAGTTCGAGGTCTCAACGAAAGGGCTATGTTTAAGCTCTG